CACAGTCAAGAAAATGCCAGCCTTTACCGTTATGGATTTTCCAGAAATAATGGATTGAAGTTAGAGCTAATTGGATCTTGCCTGAATAAAAGAAAACACTTTCAGATAGCAAGATCTGTACTGCAAGAACAATCAATTTAAGGGGGTCTGTGGCAGGGGTGAAATGCTCCCGGTTTGGACCGGATCGCCCGATCCGGTAGCGATGGCGGCGGGTGGTTCGGAGAACCGGTAGCAAAAATCCCTGCACCCCCCCATGCCCAGCTGAGCCGCACGATTATCAGAGGCTTTTTTTTTTTTTTTTACTTTTAAAAGCATTTTTTCTACAACCTCTTTGGCCAAAAAAATGCTTTTAAAAGTAAAAAAAAGCCTCTGATGATTGCGTGGCTCAGCTGGGATCATCAGAGGTTTTTCAAAGCATTTTTTTCTGCAACCAAAGAGGTGGTAAAAATAATGCTTTGAAAAGTCTCTGACAATCCCAGCTGAGTTGCCTGATCAACAGAGAGGCTTTTAAAAGCATTTTTTAAAAAGCCTCTCTGATGATCCCAGCTGAGTTGCCTGATTGGCAGAGGCTTTTCAAAGCATTAGAAAAAATGCTTTAAAAAGTTTTTTTTTAAAAAAAACTTGGCCACGCCCATCCAGTCGCATTACCACCACCCCCCACCCTCCAAGCCATGCCCACAGAACCGGTCATAACAAATTTTACATTTCACCCCTGGTCTGTGGCTTTTAATTTCTATTCTTTTTAAAGAAAGGCTGGTCATCCACCTTTAATGGATGGCTTAAATTGGTGTTTCTCAACTTCAGCGAGTTTAAGACATGTGGACTTCAGCTTCCAGAATAATTCTGGGAGTTGAAGTCCACACATTGTAAAATTGCCAAGGTTAAGAAATACTGGTTTAATCGGTTTAACCATACATTGCTGAGTGTTAGATTAGAAGATCTTGGTGGCCCCTTCTTAGTCCACTGTTCTACGAATTCAGTTCCTGGAGAAATGAACTAACTTCACTTTCTAGATAAACTTGCTGAGTTCACATGTGCAAAAACTATCTAGGAACCCCAAAATACATTTTATTAAAAAGTATTCATAAAATAACATCCTATTATAGGTGGTTCTCAATTTATGACCACAATTGAGCCCAAAATTTATGTTGTTAAGTGAGAAATTGGTTAGGTGAATTTGCCCCATTTTATGACTTTTCTCACCACATTTGTTAAGTGAATCCCTGCAATTCTTAAATTAGTAACCCCAATTTAAGTGAACCTGGTTTCCCCATTGACTTTGCTTGTCAAAACGTCACAAAAGGGAATCACATAACTCCAGGACACTGCAACCGTCATAAATGGGAGTCAGTTGTCAAGCATACGAATGTAAATTAGATGTAAGTGTGAAAAATGGTCATAAGTCACTTTTTTTAGTGCCATTGCAACTTCAAACGGTCACTAAATGAACTGTTGTAAGTCGAGGACTACCTGTATATGCAAAAAGTGTCTCTGTTAGAAAAGTGAACAAAAACGTGCTTCATGGAAGGGATACAAAAATGCACACCACTTTTCATGCCTATATTAGAGCAGTGTTTCTCAACCTTGGTAGCTTGAAGATGGGTGGACTTCAACTCCCAGAATCCCCTAGGATTCTGGGAGTTGAAGTCCACCCATCTTCAAGCTTCCAAGGTTGAGAAACACTGTATTAGAGGATATCTCAAAGGACCTCTCATGGACTATGAATGCTAACATGTTTGTGAAGAAGGCACAGAAGAGGCTTTACTTCCTGAGAATGCTCAGGAAAATAACTCTATCTCAGTATCTACTTCTGTCCTACTATAGCAGCACCATTGAGAGTGTCCTGACATACGGCATTCTTGCATGGTCTGCAGCAGTCAAAAAAGCTCTACAGAGAGTCATTAAAACTGCCCAGAATATCATCGGGCTCCAGCTACCAGCCCTGGACGACATCTTCGCATCTCTCTGTTTGAGAAAGTTGCATAACATTCTCAGAGACTCTTCCCATCCTGCTTACAATCTTTTTGGATTGTTTCCTTCTGGCAGAAGATACAGAACAATTAGAACTTGGACCACACGTCTTCTGAATAGTTTTTATCCCAGAGCTATAATTGCACTCAACAATGAACTAAAGGGCCACCATCAGTGAGCTGTTGGACAGCATTACTTGGTCTGTTGTGTGGATGTTTGAGTGGTTTAGGGGCGGGGAATTGTGGTGGGTGGGAGTGTGTTTGGGGATTGTTATGTGTGTTGGACCTGGTCTTTGGGTGTTAAGTGAATTTCTTTGTATGAGTATACTGTGTATACACATACAATGACAATAAAGTTGTTGTTGTTGTTGTTGTTGTTGTTGTTGTTGTTGTTATTATTATTATTATTATTATTATTATTATTATTATTATTATTATTATTATATTTGCAATTCAGTAAGGAAACCTGGCAGCCAATGAAAATGGTATAAAGTTGAAATTAACAGGTTCAGCCTTCCATCCTGATTTTATGTCCAACAGGACCCAAGTAGTCCTAACAATCACAATTAGAACCAGAATTTCCATTGCTGAACAAGGCAATTGTTACGTGATTCAATTCCGATTTTACATCCTTTTTGCCACTGTTATAAAATGATCCACTGCAATTGCTAAATGAATCACATGGTTGTTAAGCAAATCTACCTTCCCCCATTGCTTATCAGAAGCTGGCTGGGAAAGTCGCAAATGGCAATCACATGATCCCAGGATGCTACTACTACTTCTACTTCCTACTACTACCGGTACTATTTTCATGTCTGAAACTCCAAGGCGCTTCCATGGTGAAAGGATTAGCCGGTGACATCATTTATTGCTCAGGAAATGCTCAGTTGGGAGCTCCTTTCATGTCCCTGTTAGTGAGCCCACCAAAGTGGTACCTATTTATCTACTTGTGTTTGCATGCTTTCAAACTGCTAGGTGGGCAGGAGCTGGAGCAAGGAACGGGAGCTCACTCTGACACAACAGCAGCACTCGGACTTCAAATGCAGGCTTGCAAATTGGCAACCCAGTGTCTTAACCATATGAGCCACCGCACTCCCTCCCGAGATGCTGCAACTATCCTAACTACTTGCCAGTTGCCGAATGCCTGAATTTTGATCATGTTACCTTAGGACACTGAAATGTAAGGATTGGTTGTTAGTCACTTTTTTTTTTTAGCACCGATGTAACTTAAAGCGGTCGCTAAACAAATGGTTGAATGCTGAGGATGAATTGTAAAGACATAGGATCAGGCAGGAACAGCCTATACAGAATGAACACCCTCCATATATTCCTTGTTCCAGGAATATCAGGGTTAGTGCCTCACACGGTCCCCACCCCAGGTTATACCAGTGAAATTCAGTTTCAAATTTGAATTACAGTAATAGAAATTCTAAGTGATTTTCAGACGGGAAGTATAGGTGCACTGACACTTAACATAATCAATACATTAAGAAGAGGGGGTGGGAAGCAAACTGGGCTGGAAAATTCCAACTCCTATCCTTCTGATGAGATCATGAGATGGTTGTCCCAACAGTCTTGGAGTGAAATGGGATGTGGACTAATTTTCTCCACTGTCACACACATTTTGTTCATGTTTCCAGATAAGCAAGGAGTCCCGGGCACTTGCACTTATTCTTTCCCTCCTTGTTCCCTCATTAAGTGGTCCCATCTACTCTTGGAACAGTAGACTGAGCAGGCATCTCCTTGTTGGGAGAAGACGAGGGGAGCTGTATCCCAACATATCTTGAGAGTGATGGAAGAGCTAGCATTAATCTGGTTTGCTACACCAAGAAGGAGGAGAAACATTTAGGTTTGAGCTATCTATACTGATGGAAAGAGTACACTAAAATAGTGGTGGCAACCCTTAGAGCCCAAACGGAAAGGAAAGAACTCCACAATGCAGCTTCAATCACAGGACCACAAGGGCTTTGCTGACTCTTATTAGAGGAGAAACAGATACTTATTGTGTGGCATGAATGTAAGATGAGAAGTTGTGAGGTTCTCCTGCCCTCAGGCGTTTATCCAGCCATTTGTGAACCATCTGGATAATTCAGCACTTGAAATAATTTGAGTAACAATCTCGCAAAGTCTAAAATGTCAGGTCGAAATGATTCCATAGCTTATAGATCTTAACTTCTACAGGAAAGATCATCTCTAATAACTTGAGTAACTTAGCCAAGTCATAAACTACAGTAGGAGGCCTTGTCCAGATAGTTTTAGCCTTTTTTATTATTATTAAAAAAAAAGCCATGCTTGACTTATGGCTAGAAACTTCAGAGGATTAGAGTGACCAAGAAAAAGAAAAGACATGAGCCTTGGCAACAAAGAAAGTCCTAAAATGAGTCCCACAAACCTTTTGCCACAATGTCCTTGGAATTCTGTGCAATGAAAGCATGTAGTAAGTCTACATCCTGCAAAATATACATTTGTTTTCCTCTTCAGATCCTTTCGAGAGGGACATTTCTAGAATGATGCAACTACTAGAACATCTGGTTGAAAAACTTCATTTCTCTTGCAGAGTTGCTCGGTTAATCTCTTTAGATAAGACTGTGCGTAAAACACATCTGGAAGTATTTGTGAAATAGTCCAAGATGCAGGAAGGAGTGCTTGACTTTTCTCTTCCACATCTTCCTGGGCTCCCTTGTGTGTCTCTACTAAATACAATCCCCACCCCTCACTCTCTCTCAACACATACACACATCACACAGTCCCAACCTTAAGCAGAACTTTGTATCAACTATTTCACAGGCAGGGAAGATTTTTGAGCAGATTAATAACCCAGTGTCCAAGATGCACATCAAGAAAGAAAATTTGCAACTTCTGAGCTCATCTGTTTTGCTGGGCTGCTAATCTGCCCCTCTGAAGGGCCTTCTAGCAACCCCCGCTTGCTACTTCACAAGGATCAAAGCAGAGGGAAACTTCCTGCTGCCCAGAATACAGTCGTTAGAAAGCTAACTGCAAACCATGCTGGGAGAGAGCCATTTCTCTTACCTGCCGGAGGTGCTACACACAGCTGGCCATGTTTCTAAGATGAGTGAGAGAAACTTTGTCCCCAGCAAGCAAGCGAGCGAGTTGAGCTTGCAGCTTACGTCACTGTTGGATCTGGCAACTGTCAGCTCCAACTTTCACGTTCTTTAGAACTCCCCCTTTCTTTTCTTTCTTTCTGATCTTCCAAGAAGCCGCAAGCAGGGAATTGGGAGAGACAGAAAAAAGCTGCTTCCGATCTCTCTTGCAAAGCAAACTTAGAATTGGAGATACCTCCAGGAGAACTCAGCTCACAGTGACTTTTGGATCCTTCACCCCTTCCCTCTCTGGGCTCTTCTCTCCAGAGGTGGAAAAGTAGAGATTCCCACCCACCCACCCTTGCAACTCCAGGCTGACTCAGTGATGAAGGGCTGCCGTTGCGCCAGGCCCCCGAGCTGGAAACGAGCAGCTCACAAACGTGCCGGAATGCCAAGAGAACTTAATCAAGCCCAGCTGGGGTGGGAACAAAGGCCCAGAGGCAAGGGAACCTCTGCCAGATCTTCCCTGACTTTTTGCTGTGTCTAGTTCAGTCTGTTTCTCAACCTTCAGAAGGTTCGATGCATCCTAATGAGATTTGGTCAGGCGCAGAAGTTGCCACAAAGAGGAGCCAAGCCTGCGCAATGTGTCCAACTCTCGTTATCACAGGAGTCCAGAAAGTCTCCTCCTGTTGAGTGGAGCCATTGGTCCATCTTGCCTTGTGGGCTCTCCTTAGTTTGCTCGTTGTTCTCTGGGGGTCTTGAGAATAAGCGGTCTTCTTGTCATCACTTCCCAGTCCTTTTGTGGGAAGACCAGATATGGAAGCAAGAAATTTGGCAGGCAAAACAAACAAGAAGGGGTGATGGGATGGCAGGAATGAAGACGTTTGTCTCAATCTCTGTGACCCAAACAATTCATTAGTGGTAAAAAGAAAACTAGTCAAATGAAATTTAACCCCACTTATTTCTCCTTAAGATCCTGCTGACCAGGCCATTGACTTCAATAAATAAAAGACAATGGAGGAAAAAAATGCATCGACGTAGGAAGCAAGAATAGAAAATACTATTTTCTCTATGGAGCCTCCGAGCTAGAAAGCACAGGATTCTACCACTTACTGAAAGTTAGTCCTGCCTTGGCTTATCAGGGGAGAAAAAATTGGCTCAGAATAGTCATTCTGGATCAGAGAGGGAAGAATCCTGTTTCCACAAGAAATAAACATTTAATGTGCCCAAAGCTGAGCTTTTTAACTACCCTGTTTCCCCCAAAATAAGACATCCCCTGATAATAAGCTCAATCGGGCTTTTGAGCGTATGGCAATAAGGCCAAGCGTTTATTTCAGGGTTCAGAAAAAAATATAAGACAGGGTCTTATTTTCGGGGAAACACAGTAAGCTCTCAAACCCAGAACACTTTTCCTATATGAATGGAGCCTAAAATCTCACCCATTCTTAGGGGCTGTGGGAATGTGATCCTTGTGGATCTTGGTATGAATTTACCCCAATTGGTTTACCCCTTTCTCCTCCAGCCCAGTAACCTCCTAAAAGATGAGGTGTATCTTAGCCATGGCAGCTGGGGCTTCTGGGATTAGAAGTCCAAGATGTCTGGAAATGAGAGGCTACACCTTTCTTATTATTGTTATAACTCATGGAAATTCATTGAATATGTTCAACTTGGACTTCTTTGGTTTTTTCCTTGAAAAAGTTTTGCTTCTCATCCAAGAAGCTTCTTCAGTTCTGAAGAAGTTCAGAAGCTTCTTGGATGAAAAGCAAAAGGAAAAAAGGAAAAAAGCAAGCAAGTTGCTTTTTGAAAAGCACCCTTGGGACAACCATGACTGGATGATTGAGAATCTCCATAGATGTGATGGAGCATTGTGTTTGCAAATGGTTGTAGTGCCTAACCTTGTGTCTCCATCTTCTAATGAAGATGCTTCATGCAAAATACACCTGAAGTCATGCATTTTGCCTAATGGTGATTGATTTTGAGGATACGTATCTGAGCCGAGAACTGGCTCAACGTGGGAAATGGATCAGAGCTTAATTTAGTCCTGTTCCTATTAATGAATGGAGCAATGGGCCACAAGTTCACAGACAAATTGACTCTTGATGAATTGCAGCCAGCCAACTACCAGTGACCACCCAATGAGTTCACAGCTGAGAAGGGATTCCACTGGAGAATTACATAATGCCAGAGTGTCTCTTCCCCCTTCCCCACATCCCGCCTTGCTGGGAACCCCTGCAGATGTGTTTCAGCTGCCTGTAACACCACATGTAGCCCTGGAGGAGGGGGAAAAAAAACCAGAAGCAGAGACTATCCTGTAAAGCTCATCGTGGAGCAGCCCTGTCAATCTCAAGCATAGAAACGTGCCAGAAATGTGTATGGAAAGACCAAAGAGGACACCTAGAAACAAACAAACAAACAAAAAAAAACCACAGCCCCAAACTTGGAAACTCAGATGCAAAACTCCTAAGGGACCCTGCCTAAAGAAAGGAGATGCAGCTTTCTTTCATTGTGATTCTTGTTGAAATTGCATTTTTCCCTCAAGGAAATTGGCATGGCTGCAAAGGACTGGCCATGTGCCAGAACCAAATGACAACCAAGGACTTTTGCTATTGTCTTGGTGTTAATTTGTACAAGCAATTCAGGCAAATGCAACCCAAAGAATCCTTGTTTTTTTTGCATCCTAACTGAAACAACAGGTATGTGGGGAAGTAAGAGTGGAGGACTAGTTGTAGAGGAAAGACTAGGCAGAACCAGGAGGAGGTGTGAAAAGAGGGATCAGCGTGGAATCATTACATAGTCACAAACGAATCTTAACTGCCATTGATCCTTATCTAACTCTAACCAGGTGCTAACTGTTAGTTAAGATTCCTGGTGCATATGTTTTTAGCAGTAAATTAGTTAAATTGAACCTTCACATGCGGACCTGGTGTTTCACACCTGACACTAATGCAAGGTTTCCCAAATCTTAACCCAGAACGCCAATGGAAGAGTATATCTGCAACTCAAGGTTGAACTGTGGAATCTTCGGTGCTCATTTATCCATTTGCGAGCACTGAGCTCTGACGTTACCTAGTTAGGTAATGAAACATCTGCAAGCAAACGAGAGCAGCAAGGACTCTGCAGAGAGAATGATTGAGCAAGGTCACACAAGCAGGGATTTGAACTGGGCACCGCTAATTCTGCCCAACATTTTATCTACAACGAGACCACCAATTCAATCATTCCTGTTGTAGGGAGGCAAACTAGAATCACACATTAAAGAAGAGAATACATATATACTGATGTCAGCTTTCATGGCCAATACCTGTTGGCCTGCATTGAGCTTCAGGGTTCATTGACCATGGTCTAGACTAGGGGTCAGCAACCTGCGGCTCTGGAGCCGCATGTGGCTCTTTCACCCCTCTGCTGCGGCTCCCTGTCACTCAAAATATGCATCACAACCACCAATGTGCGACACCCACCGGCATGCTATTTATTGAGCTTTTCAACCCCCGGTAGGCCAACCATGGATAAATCCAAGAAAAGAAAAGTTTCAGAAGAAAACAGAACGTTTAATTCAACTACGTATGCTAGTTTTGTGGCCGCTCAAGAAATAGCCAGGCACGGGGAGGGTTTTGTGGCTCCCGGTGTTTTTTTTTCTGTGGGAAACGGGTCCAAATGGCTCTTGGAGTGTTTAAGGTTGCCGACTCCTGGTCTAGACAGGTTATAAAGCTAGGGATAGGCTAAAGACAGACTAGGCAGTCCCTGCTTTATCTGGCAGTCTTTAGTCCTGGGCTGGAACCCAGTCAGTCCCTGCTCTTTGCCTGAACAGACCACCTTGCCTCTGAAGCCACCATTGCTAGTGAAACATCAGGAAACCTTTTGTCTAAATCATGGTCACTAAGCCTGAAGCCCAGCAGTGCCCAACGGAACACATATAATTTGCACATGTGTTGATATTACTCTCCAGAGTCCAGACTTAACATTCAGCTGACTGGAACTTGGACTCTATGAAAGTTTTAAAAAGTAATGATTTTTTGCCATACTGGAATAATTTTTTTCTTGGCTAAGGAATCATCAACATGAAAGAAAAGGCCAAAACTAGAAAGCTGGTTTCCCCCGAAGCCTATTTTTTCTACATTCATGTGAATACAAGGAACTCCTTGACTCCAAATTTAGACAATTGGTTTAATAAGGACTGTTTGACTGGAAAGTTCTATTTCTAGGGATCAGGGAGAGGAAGATTTCATCCCTTGTCTACGTCTTGGCTGTTTTATCATCTTTGATATGTCATTTTCCCTACTGTGTTTCATTTAAGGTTAAACTAACACTCCTGTAAGAGTAATTGATCAATTTGAGAATCAGGAGCAATACAAAGGCCAAAAAACATCCCCTTGATTTGCCTTTTCAGGGGACGGGTTTAGCCCATATATTTGAATTCAGTAGGAGTGCTGGGAAAAAAAACTGATAATTAAATTAACAGAATCTCCTGTTAAAAATATTCAAGATATAATTGTCTTGGATGAAAATATAATTTTAGCCCAACTGTGTTTGAAGGAAAAAATGAGATTTATTAAGAAATATACAAGATTGAAAAGTCTCATTTCTATCCAAATTTCATCAGGAAGAAACAGAAGAACAAGGCAGAAGGAGAGAGAAGGAAAAATCCTTTTGTTTGTTCAACAGACAAAACTTTACTAAATCATTTCACTAAAAATCATCCAGGTGAGAAGCAGACAAGGCTGGATTACGGCCAATTGATGCCCTAACTCTACCCAACAGTGATGTCCCTTGACAGAAGCATCACATGTCACGAGACTGAAACAAATGTGACATCTGATTTTCAAGCTTTAGTCTCTCACCCTGCCAAAAAAAACCCAATCCTCCATGTTGTTTTAAACAATCCGGATAAAATCAAAATATTACAGATGAGAACAAAAAAAAAAATGACTTGGATTGAGCATGACAAAACTTGAAGGACATGATAGCTAGAAAGAAAGTCTCTGTGGTATATTTTGTTATCATTGTATTATTCCCCCTCCCCTCCCAACTCCATAAAGTACTAATATGTCATGAAGTAACACAGTCTTGGTCAGCCTGGCACTTTTCCAATGTGACAAATGGCAACATTCATCATTCACTGCCACTATGGCTTTGGGGGATGCTAGTTAGAGATGATGGAGCTATCATAAAACATGCATGATAGAGATGATGGAGCTGTAGGCATCCAATTTTGGGACGGCATTATTGTCACGGCTTAAAAATGAAAGGATGAAGGTCAGAAATCTGCTGGTGGGACAGGTCCTTTGCACCAAACACCCCCGCCCCACAACCAAACTGCAAACTGG